CCAAAGAATTGCGATGTTAGATTAGGATTATTTGAGCTCAAAGTTAGGACCTCGTGGTTTTGTCTCCATGGAGACGAGGCTTACAGAACTCACGAACGGAACTTTTAGAGACAAATATGTAAATGTTGATGGCGAAGAACTCGTAACTTCTGACAGGATTGGAACTGAAATCGAAATTATTAAGTACCGTTAAGTAAAACCGACGTTTTGAAAGATCTTACTTCAAACAAATCTACTAAGGGCATGTGGAAGGCTTTGTTTTCATACTGACAATGATTTAATGTGTTTGTTTCCGGTAACATAATCAGTGGTTACAACTGTCTGCCTAATTCGTAGGCTGCATTCATGGTTCGAAAAGACAGACTTATGGAAGACTTATTTTTGCAAATATTTAATGAGGATTAAAACGCAACTGCACTGTTATCGTAATAAGGAGCCTTGGGATTTCTCATAACGATGTACTGATTGGACAACCGGCGTACGTTACATTTTAAAAACAAAGACATTTCTGAATTTCACTTTCCTTCTTCGTATATTCAACATCTTAAATACCAGTGGTATGTACCCCTACTTTAACAAATAACTCTTTGTATTTTTTACAAAGAATGAATTTATATACTTCGTATGACTCTCAGACTTAACAGCGATTATTTCCTTAAACAGCGTTAACCAGTTGATCTATGTAATGGTGAAGTGTTGTGTTTTCTTTGCGGTACGGACTGGATTATTAAATACGTATTACTTAAACGGGCTTCGGTTTCAAAGGGATAAGGACAGCAGAATTTTTAAGACGTAGAATGAACAGTTAGCTAGCTGTCAAAGAATGCCCACTTCCGGCCACTATGACAGGCTAACAGTATTAATTACTAATACAAATTCGATTTAACTTTCGTTTATACTTCTTGGGGGGGGGGGGATGTTGACCGACATTTAACAGAAACCAAATGCATAAGTTGGTGGAGAGCGTCACATTTATCTATCAGTAATTAGAAAGTTGTAGAAATCCTATTCGAACCTAACTACTGAGGTTGAATGACTCTTTAGCATTCCATAGCCACCGACTTTCATTTGACAGACAATTACATATTTGGTCTAAATAATAAATTAACAATATCATTTTCTTTTTAGCTCGCGTATCCGCCGTCTGGGTTACTGGACGAGAATCACGCGTTTTTGGGTTTGAATATAACAGCCCGCGTGCCACACGCGATACGCGGACAAACGCATGTATAAGTGTTCATAAAAAGTGTCCGTCACTGGCGAGCCGAAACTGGAATGTGGAGGGACAGGACCTTCCAAAATGTTGGTAACTACCCACAAGACCATACGCCGTTGCAGGCCAGGAGACGTGTTTACCACCGCGAGAAACACAAATATCTAATCTGAATTCGTTTGTGACGTCGTGGTTGAACAAAGACATTCAGAGCCATGCTTTGACTTTCGTTGATTTGATTTTATGCGTTACATCAGTTAATGACCTGCACGAAGTAATTTTATTCAGTACACCATTATCTGACGTGCCCTGACGCTCAGAGCAAATCTCTAACTCAGAAACACACTTTCTAGGCACCGACTGTTCTCCGTGTTCTTTCAGGCTGACATAATCTGCCCACTAAATGTGTAAGTGCCTTTATGATGTTCGCTGGGTCTATGGCCACAGATCCATGGTCCTTATCCCATCTCCAGCAACACACACGATCTGCCCACCGGATACTATGTCCTAGGAATTTCCACCAGGTAGGATGGCACGAGCGGAGCATGTAGCACGCATGGGTGGATAAGAAATACGTACACAATTCTGGGAGATACGGACTTACGCCCGAGGACAAAATGAAGTGAATCTTAGACGATCAGAGTGTGATTTGTTGAAGGGGTTCAACCAACACAAGACAGAGTCCAAAGTTGGAGGGTGGGGGCTAGTTACCACGCAGCGAAGTCCTTGTTTCCATAACAACGGTAAAGCGGAGTTTTACAAAGAGGAAGGAAAACAGGAATTATGCCACAAAACTTACTTAATCTAAGCTAAAATATGTAACGAGCGTCTGTATTCGATACACAATTTTTTTCGAAGGAGGCCCTAGTTTTGTTTCGTTCAAAAGAATCTTTTGTGATATTATGCAAAGCAGCTCGAACCTTGGACCACTAACTGAAACCTCAAATATCTTCTAACACGCTTTATTTGAAAATCCATAAACTATTTTGTGCAACTCTCCTAGTAACACAGAACACCGTCTCACAAGCGAGATGGTAATGGCATGGATGAAGGGCACTGCAAATGCGCCTCTTAATAAATATTATTTTATGACGTCTTTGAAAACTGACAAAACGTCTCATGTTTTTGTCCGGTAACAAGTGAAACGCACTTATAATGACACGCATTAATTTCTGACTGCGGTATTCTGTTTCGGAAGAATGCACAGCGTCCTTGTTCAGGGTTAAGATATAATTTATCTCATAACTGAAGGTGGAAGTGGTACGTTCCTCCGAAGCGAAATGAAGTGGGTGCACAAGCACCCAGGCTCTTCAACTACGTATCCTGCGGATGGCATCCATACATTTTAATACGTGAATGTGGTTAAATATATGTCCCAGCGATATTAATCGAACCACAGCTCGACTTCCGCACTCAACACACTAAGCACATAGGTCTATGCGCCTCTTAAAGCAGTGAGCGACCTCATATGTCATGTCCCAGCGATATTAATCGAACCACACCTCGACTTCCGCACTCAGCACACTAAGCACATAGGTCTATGCGTCTGCGGTAAAGCAGTGAGCGACCTGATATTTGCACGTTGTTCACCTCAATTTCGTGACACTTATTTTGGAAGCAATCGTTTTCAAACCCAGTCGTAGAAAGCGTAATCACAGTTTTGAGGTCAAATCGAGTTTTTACAGCCTTGGATAATAACAACGGCGTGACCCCACAGCCAGCAGACAGGCACGCGAGTGATCACGGATGAAGCTTGTATTTCAAGCTGTACAAGAGACATCTGAGGGGAAGACCCAGTCATAGAGAGAAGGATGATATTAGAACAGATCTTGAATCCATGAGGAGCAAAGTGCGGACTGAATTATGATAGTTCAGGTAGGGGGCATTAGCGTGCCCTTGTGAACACAGTCAAGGAGTACAATTATAGTCCTGTTAAGCTTTAGACAGGAGACGAGGAGGCAGAGACTGGCGTGTTTGGGCGGGGCACAGCATGTCCTGTTGAGACACGGTCGCTGAAGACGAAAATTACACTCGTCTTTGTTCGCGACTTCACGGAGGACATGCATACCCTAGCAACGGTTTGTTACAAGGACCGCACCTCACCCACCGGCTATTACATGAGGAGGCTGCCAGCTGCCTTCAGAAGCTAAGCTTGTGGTGAATAACGCTGTCAAATCTACAGATAATGGACAATGGCCGAAAGGAATACCTGACAATAAAAACAGTGACATCCCATTCACGATATTACCAAACATCTATCTTAATGTTATCAATTTATAGTTTTATCAGTGTTTGCTTTGTATTGGTGTGAGAACCTGGTCTGTAACGTCAAACGAAAGAGACCACGTTTTACCCATACAAAATTATTGTTACACACCCTGACCTAGCACTTCGAGACGTGTTGGCTACAGGACGATAACAGCTTCCTGACTGAATAGTAACGGGCACTTCTTCAGGAACCTATTGTACGCTCGTTAATCTTACGATCATCAAAATCACGAAGGGAGCAAGCAGCCCCCCCCTCCCCCCAATCAACACTCCGAAACGCCTAACATTGACACCGCCCTCTCTCAAGAGAAAGTGAGGAGTTTCGACAGGACACTGATCTGTCGTTAAGACGAGAAGACAATTCTGATGGTCCATCACGCAGACCTGCGAAAACTCCGCGCTCTTCGTTCATTTCCTGTTTCTCCCGTTGTAAAAATACGCGTTCCTTGAATCAGGGAACTTTAAACGCATGTGACCGACCGAGCCGTTAAAGCTCCACACTTGTACGAGGGAAAGAATCTCAAAATTCCAGAACGTTGCTTTGGAATTGGTCACTACCACTTCCTTCCCGGTGCTTTCAAGGCCACTGGACACTAGCGAACGTACGAAAATATAACAACGGCACCCTGACAGAACATTTCTCAAATTGTGCTGAAATAATAATAATAATGATAATTTATCGTGCTGTCAGTGTAGGGACTATTTACGGGCTGGACGACCGTGGTTCGGTTTTCGGTAAGGACAAGGATTTCCGTCTTCGCTGATACCGTGCCCTGATTGGCTGCAGACGGGGACGGGAGATCTTCCGCTGGAGCGCGAAAACACAACACCCATCTTCATGTAACAGCGAGGTTAAGAAGGTGAGTAGCTATAACTCCATCCCAGACGTCTTTATGGCTGGTTAATCACAGGGAAAACTTTACACCTTTCTCTTCAGATCTGTGACCCGCTGGCACGATAACGTAGACGTTAAACAAGAGAGGTCCAGGGAGACAGCGAATGGCATCTCCCCCCCCCCCCCCCCTCCCCCT